GATATTTCACTGATGGAAGAAGCAGTATTGGAGCATAATTCCTGTCTGTCATTTGATAATGAACGGCTGCAGGAACTGGTTGATGTTCTTCAGGAGAAGCATAAAAAGGAGAGAGAAAAAAATCTGCTTTAGGGTCCTGCTTAGCATAATTTATGGTTCCCATAAATTGGAAGGCAGCTCATTTCCTTGAAGAGACACAGGAGGAGCATGGTTTGAAAGTTATAAAAAAGAGTTGTTGTTGTGGAGAGTGGTACATAGATTTTCTGTATAAATCAGATTGATTTGCTTGTTACATGTCTAAAGGAAAGGATATAAGCAAGTCAGTGAGCTGAATGGATTTAACTTTTAAAGGAAAGGGGAGAGCAGAGAAACTGGGGGCAGGTGATGCTGAGGTGGCTGTGTAGACACCTGGAACAGTTGAGGTGACATGCCTGTCATTCTCAGTTCCTTGGTTTCTCTGGTTTTTTTTTTGGCAGTGTAATGATATCAGTTACAAGATGTTCTCAGTTGTTAAAGGATTCACGTTAGTGGCAGCATTTGTTTGAGAGATTTCAGTTCATTTAAAGATTGTGTTAATGCTGGTCTTGCTTAGCATTAGACCTCTGAGCACTTAGGTACTCTGTAGAGTAGATGGACATAGGGATTGAAAAGATTAAAATCCAAAAAAGCCTTTGAATTAGCTGAGGTGGCTGCCTCTGTATTCTGCCAGATATTACCAGCTTCCTGCTCTTTCTCCATTTTCAGTTTTGTCTTATTTTTCTGCTGTCTTGGGATTTGGCCAGTATAAAATTCAGGACTGAGTTTTAATAAAGTTCATGGAATAGTCTGTCACCACAGCAAAAAGTAAAAAGCACATGATGAATAAGAGAAAAATGACTCCTGAGCAGCATCAGGAAAAGTTGGCTCTATGCAATGTGCAGGCTGAAGCACTCCTTTGATTGCAGTTCTCCAAGCTGCAAGAGAGGGTGGAGACAGCAGAATCCCGGGTGTCTGTCCTGGAGACCATGATTGATGACCTTCAGTGGGACATTGACAAGATCCGCAAGAGAGAGCAGAGGCTCAACCGCCACCTGGCCGACGTCCTGGAGCGAGTAAGCGCTGGCCAGGAAACCTGGGAATGGGGGTGGTGTTGGATGGGTGTGTGACATCCTCTCTGGGACTTTGCTGTGTGTCATCCTCTCTGGGACTTTGCTGGGAGAGCTGAGAACCTGCAGTGTTCCTTCTTTGGTCTTGGACCTGCTGCATCACTTTTGTCGGTATTTCACTGGGTCTTGAGGAAATCTTCTGCATTTTTTGCAGGTAAATTCCAAAGGCTACAAGGTGTATGGAGCTGGGAGCAGCCTCTATGGGGGAACAATCACCATTAATGCCCGCAAGGTGAGGTCAGGAGCTTGGTTGTGGTCAAAGGGAAGAATAGAGTCAGTGAGAACAAGAGCCACAGTTTGAACAGAATTTAGATGCTTATTTTAGATAATTTTTAGATCCTTTGCCACAAAGCTGGGTGACTCTGGACAAGCCATTTTGTCTGTGTATGAGTTTTCTACTTAAGAAACACCTGGTGGAATTAGACTCTGTCTCACTTGGTCAAGTTACTTGACTGCTCAGTCTGTGACTGCTCTTACTGCATGAACAGATAGGTTGTTAGCACTCTCAGGAGACACATTAACAGTAGGATTTACAAGCAGTTTATCCCAACAGTTTGAGGAGATGAATGCAGAGCTGGAAGAGAATAAAGAGCTTGCTGGGAATCGCCTTAATGAATTGGAGGAACTACGTCAGGATCTTGAGGAAGTAACAACACAGAATGAAAAGCTCAAGGGGAGACACCTGCAGCTGTGTGAGGATGAAGGTGTTCTGTGGGATGGGCTGCCCTCAGTTTTGCAGTGCTGTGTCTGCAGAAAACCTCATTGGCAGTGTCTGTTTTGAGCCTGCTCTTTAGCCGTGTTATGCTTTGCTCCAGGTACAATTCAGCGAGTCTGTCGCTCCACTTGCAGCTCAGGGCGTTGGTGACACCGTGTGGCCACCGTTGGAAATTGTAATGGTTTCCTGTCCGTGTCCCGTTCTGATCTTTGAATCCATTTTAACAGTAAAAACTGTTTTCACCTCTTTACAAGTAGTGATCCCTCCTCCACCTTCCCCACGCCCTGTGCAACGGGAAACGAGAGAACAGAAACAATCAGGGAACTTGTGTGGGGAGAGATGCTCTTGAAAGAGTCAATTAATTTCTGTCTTTCCCACTGTGGGGGATGGATAGATAGGAAACAATCTATGAGTTTGTGATGTTTTAAAAGTGATAACACAAGAGCTCTGGCTCTGTGGTAGATGAGTGTATCGTGGGGAGAATAATCCAAATTTTATTTCAGGGGTCAATGCCAATTATAAGAAATATCTGTCTCAAGGTCCTGGATTAGGGCAAATCTGGGTAAAGACCTCCAAAGGACCCCCCCCCCCCCCCCCCC